GGCCTTCCCATTTCTAATCCTGTGTAACTATCAAACCCATAAATCATAAGTTTATTTTTTTTTCTGTTTTGTGCAAAAAGTCCATAAGTGGCTGCCAATCAGCAGTAAACATAGATTACAGTCTTTTCTCTGATCAAAGAAGTCAATTTAGCCATCTCAGCGAGTTCCATCATCTTCACCAACTATTCCTCCAGTGAGGATAAGGCCAACTCTTTCCATCTTTGTGCATACGATAATCTCACTGCAATTATCAGGTGCAAAACAAAATTCCATGACTTTTTTCCCAACTGTTTTTCCTCTGATCTCAATTGTACATTAATCTTTAGAATCCTGAAATCAACATAAGTATCTGAATCCAGACTTTTCCAGATTTTCCACTATTTTCCACCAAACATAGTAAAATGTCCCTTTTTCACATTTCCAGCATACATTTGAAGTGTTTTTATATATTCGAGACAATTTCTCTGGTGACATACACTCATCCTTAATTCCAGGTTGCTTCTCTCCTTGGTTAGTTTCCATCCATTGTTTCCTGTCTTGCTTCCTGGTGCTTTGGAGAACAGGTTGACCTATTCTCTTCTTTGTGGCAGCCCCTCAAATACTGGAACACTGCTATCATATGCCCCCCCCCCCCAATCCTTCTTTTCTCTAGACTGGCCAAACCCAAGCCCCGCAGCCGTTCTTCATATGTTTTAATCTCCAGACTTTTAATCATCCTAGCTGCTCTTCTTTGCACTTTTTCCAAATCTCTTTTTGTAATGTGGTTACCAAAACTGTGGCAAGTAAGGTCGTAAAATGGGGCAAAACTCACTTAACAAATGTGTCACTTAGCAACAGAAATATTGGGCGCAGTTGTGATCGTAAGTTGAGGGCTACCTGTATTTTCCATTCCCCTTGACAAAATTCTAGTATCTCGTGATGTTTTCCATTTGTGTTAGTTTAGTATTTCTTGTCTATAAAATGCCTCTTGTGCTGAGAGCCACAAAGGTGTTTTTGGATACAACTTGGGTCTGTATCTGTTCCATGTTCTCAGCATGGGATGATGATCTAACAAGATGATTTTTAAAATCCACATTGACCCGAATCTCAGCTCCTGCTCTTCCAGCTCCGAGAGGCTTCTGTTTCTCAGCATCGTTCGCCCTTTCCTAGAAGCCAAAGAGCCAGCTGCAAATTACGATTTCAAGTCAGGCAACCCTTGTCCTTCTCTTCCCTTTGCGTCTTGTAACCCTTTAGACTTTACTCGTGGTTTTTCCCTCTGCCACACAAATTTAGATATACCCCCCCTGCCATTGTCTAAATGGCACATCAGCTGTCAAAACAGTTATTGCCTGAAACAAACAAACAAACAAACAAACAGATCATTTTATCACAGAATTGCTCCCCAGCAATGACAATTGTGGTTTCTCCCATCTTATCTTTTTTACCTTCACTCATTCTTATTTTGGAATAACGTGCAGTTAGTATTTTTTCACAATGATACCCAGATATTTTACCTTCTTCTCAATCTTAAAACCTGTTTTATTCATCCATTCTGTTTGATCTTCCATTTTCATAATTTTTGTTAACATCTTTGTATTCTTTTCATTAATCTTGAAACCTGCTAATGCACCAAACAGGCCCAGTATTTTCTATTGTTTCCTGCCCAGAAAAAAAAACCCTGCTCCTTCACATCAGCTGGGGAAACCCCTGTGTTTTAATCTTGCAAAAACCTATAGCTAAATTTGGCATGAAGTGGTACCAGACTGTGGCCACCATTGCCTGGGAGAGCTTGGTGCTGACACCCTCCCTTCGCAGACAGCAGTGGCACTTACGGCGCAAATTGGGAAGAGGCTGGAAAAACCAAGTTGCTCTCAGCTCAAGAAGCATTTTACAGACAAGAAACAGCAGACAAAGAGAAATATCAAGATTTCTTAGTGTAGGAATATGGAGAACTTAAGGAAGTCAAGAGAACAATTGACTGCAGAGAGATTTAGATTTCAAGGGTTTTCAGACACAGTCAAGAGAAAGATTTAATATAGATAAAAAAAAGTAATAGGAATTGAACAACGTAAGGCAGAATTCAAGACTGAACTATGTACAAATGATGAACACGTGATTGCTAAAATGTATAATTTTTTGTTGAGTCTTGAAACAGCAAAAGAACAAGTTAAAGACTGCAAGATAAAATGAGTAAAATTTTTGATTATAATATATAGATGGATCAATGGGAGAGAATGTGGTTAAAAGGATGGAAATTCACAGTGTATTATAAGATAATTTTTTTAAATAAAATGATGCACCATTGTTATATCACATTAGAGAAATTATCTAGGATATATTAACTAGTACATCTAGTTAATGCTGGAAATGTGAAAAACACGAAGGATCATTTTACCATGCATGGTCAACTTTTGAAAAAGCAAAAACATACTGCAAACAAATATGACGATAACTGAAAATTTAAAGATCAGTATTCAGATGAAACCAGTTTTTTTTAACTGGAATGTTGTAGGAAATGACCAGGCTGAGCCTGAGGAGGGGTCAAATGTGTCATCAGTCATGAGTCCCTGCACTCCCACAAGAGTCCTAAGTCCAGCCCCCCTTGAATTCCTTTTCATTCTTATCTCCCGCTCATTTTCCTTGACCATTAGTTGGTCAGATTCTTGTAGAAGCTACTGAGCTTGCAATAAATCTTTATACACATTTGAACTGCCTGAATCACCTGATTTCCCTGGTGCTTGACTGATTTATGGATAACCAATTGTAAAAGTCTCTTGAAGATTGATTTTGTACATGCAGAAAGATAATTATATGCGTAACGGTAAAGAAATACTGAAACACCCACAAGGGAGGAGTGGATTGTGAAGATGACAGAATTTGCAGAAATGGCAAAACTGAGCTGCTTGATCAGGGATAAATAAGTACTTTTATAAAAGATTGGAAACTTTTTTTGGTCTTTTTGCCATACATGGAAAAAAATGAAATATTGATTTCTGATTATGCTGATTAAAAATGGTTGAATATGGGAAGAAGGGAACCCTGTAACACAATTTTAAAGAGGGAGGCAGGATAATAACTTCGTCTGTAACTGCTGTAAAGAAGATTGATTTTTTTTCTTTTTAAAATCTTTCAAGTGTTTTTCACTTTTTAAAATCTTTTTCTTAACTGCATTTCCATATGTATTTTTTTTAGTTTTGTAAAAAATTCTAATAAAAATGACATATAGCAGAAAGTTCTATGAACATGAACCGTCCATTCTGTAGGGCCGCACAGGACTTTACCTCCCTCTTGCCCTGCTGAGTCTCCCTGGACCATCAGTTATAGTTGGGACAAGGCACAATCTTCCAAAGAGACCTCTCCCTCTCTGAAGACCGAACCGTGAGCAAGGAGTCATTGCCTGTCATGTTCTTTGTTCTCTTTTCAATGAGCAGAAGAACCTTCACGTACACGGACTAAATGTTTCTGACTTTAACATTTCTACTGGATGCTTTGCAGATTCTGCAATCATAGAATCTAGGGCTGGAAGAGAACTTAAAGGTCTTCTAATCCAACTCTCTGCCTATACCAGGGGTCCCCAACCCCCGGACTGTGGACCAGTACCAGGCTGCGGCATGCCAGCAATCGGTCCACACAAACAAGCAAAGTCTCATCTGCGAGATGCAGGCAGCACACAAAACCACGCACCCTACAGTCCACGGAAAAACTCTCTCCACGGAACCGGTCCCTGGTGCCCAAAAGGTTGGGGACCTCTGGCTATACCATTCTAGACAAATGGTTGTCCAATCTCTTCTTGAAAACCTCCAAAGATGGTTTGAAAGAGGGGTCAAAGAGGCTATCTACATTAATGTTGAACAGCCTTCTCCCAATAGAGGGGGAGGGATGCGACACCCCCTATCACCTGTTTACAACACAGTCCTTTCAGCAGCTCCAAGAAGGCTCCACATCCATTTGCAATATTCAGGTGACCCTGAGGGCACAGATAAACCTCCAAGTGGCCTCAACAACTCTCAGAGAGAGTACTAACGACAAGATGACTGAAAGGAATATAAATCCTTCCATTCTCCACCATTCAGTCAGAACTGAAGAAGCTTCTTCAATGAGAAGTGAAACATCTTCAAGGAAAAACAAACTCCAGTTGCCTTTTGAAAAAGCACCTTCGGGACTCCAGTGGTGGAGCATCCACAACTTCTGAAGGCAAGCTTTTCCACTCCTTAATTGTTCTCACTGTCAGGAAATTTCTCTTTAGTTCTAGGTTGCTTGATTAGTTTCCATCCGTTGCTTCTTGTCCTGCCCTCAGGTGCTTTGGAGAATAGGTTGACCTCCCTCTTCTCTATGACAGAAGACAGCTATCATGTCTCTTCTGAGCCTTTTCTTCCTTAAGTTAAACATACCTACTTCCCTTAACCTTGTAAGGTTTATCCTGCAGATTTTGGCCACTGAGATAGAAGAGCCACTGCTGTTGCATACCTATTGACCTTCTGTGGAGGCCCATTCAACCTTTGTTCATATACCTCATGGAAGCTCCCACTCAAGCGAGCTTCCATCCAAGTTTCCATTTATGGCATTTCAATCTCAAAAAAATAGGTCTGCTGATACTGGCCAACAGAGCCCAAACTCTGACGCACCAGTTAGAACATTCTTCCGATGATTGAGAGCCAAACTGGTGCACACAATCTTACAGGACTGACCACAAATTGTGACCCAAGTAGAAAAACAACTTTCTGAAAACAACTGAGCTCATTCACTGTGCCATAATATGGTTTCTGTTGTTTTGGCTTAGTGCAGTGTTTCTCAGCTTTGGCCCCTTGAAGATGTGTGGACTTCAATTCCATAGCTATCTGGGGAATTCTGGGAGTTGAAGTCCACACAATCTCAAGGGACCAAGGTTAAGAAACACTGGCTTAGTGTGTTAATCTGCCTCATGTTGTGAGTATTTGGTAAACCATATTCAAGCGAACTACGGCTTAGCAGAAGGCTGGATCCCAGTCAACAATGAAAGAGAACCTGAACGGCGCACACACCTTTCCGAAGCTGCCTTTCCCCAGCACCATCAGGAAGTTGAAGTCAGACAGTTTCATGCGATCACGGTTCCCGTTGTTGTCAAATTTGGAGATGGTGTTGGGCAGCCTTTCTTCCATAGCTCTTGAACCTGGACCCATTCTGGCTCTCTAGAAAAGGAAAACACAATGAAATGGAGACAATGAAAGCAGATGAGGCTAAGCAAAGCAAGGCATACTGTATATTCCAGGGGTAGGCCATCTTGGCTCTTTTATGACTCGTGGACTTCAACTCCCAGAATTCCTGAGCCAGCCACGCTGAGGGGAAAGGGAGAGGTTTCCAAGCTGAGCCAGGCTGGCTCAGGAATTCTGAGAATTGAAGTCCATGAGTCATAAAAGAGCCAAGGTTGCCTACCCTTGGTATATTCCAACATGCCCCAGTGATGGTAGGAACACCTGGGTGAGTTATTTATTTATTTGTTTCTTTGTTTGTTCAATTTTTTATGGCCGCCCACCTCAGTCAATGTCTATTACAGGTAGTCCTTGACTTACGGTCACAACTGAGCCCAAAATCTGTTGTTAAGTGAGACATTTGTTAAGTGAGTTTTGCCCCATTTTCATGACCTTTCTTGCCACAGTTGTTAAGTGAATCACTGCGGTTGATAAGTTGGCAACCTGGTTGTTAGGTGAATCTGGCTTTCCCACTGACTTTGCTTGTCAAAAGGTTGCAAAAGGGGATCACATGACCTTGGGAAACAGCAACGGTCATACGTATGAGTCAGTTGCCAAGTATCTGAATTACGATCACGTGACCACGGGGATGCTGCAAAGGTCGTAAGTGTGGAAAATGATCGTGTCACTTTTTTCAGTGATGTAATTTTGAACAGTCACTAAATGAACTGTTGTAAGTCGAGGACTATGTGTACTTCTAAACAATCTCTAAATCTTCATGAAGACACCATAAATAACTTTCTTTTCTAATCACACTATTTGCTTCACAGTAACGAAGCAGCCTTTGGGAAAATCCTTCTTATCATCCAAGTTTCCTTGAGAAAAGAGAAGCTCTGCCATTGCTTATGCTTTCCTATTACATCAGATCTCTCTCTCTCACACACACACACACACACAGAGAGAGAGAGAGAGAGAGAGACAGACACACACACACACACACACACACACACACAGAGAGAGAGAGAGAGAGAGGCACACTTCTCCAATAGTATGTTTACAGGGTCCCAGGTGGGAATCGCAGGCAGCAGGGAGAAGAGCCCATGCCAGTCCAGGGTTTCCTTGGCAGCACCATAGCCCTGAGAATCTGCACCCCATCTGGCCCCGTGATGGATCTGGAGATGGAAAAGTTCTGGGGCCGGGAGACAAAGCGCCCAACCAAATTCCTTCTCCTTACAAGACGGACCCCTCCTTCTCCACGACAGCACCTGAGCATCTCTCATTCCCTGGACAGAAAGAGAAGCAAAGAGGTCTACCTAGATCAGGGGTAGGCAACCTTGGCTCTCTTATGACTCGTGGACTTCAACTCCCAGAATTCCTGAGCCAGCATGGAAGGCATGCCTACCCCTGCCCTAGATGTTGCCAGGGCAGACCTCGTAAGCCCTGTGGGGGGAGGGGAGAAGAAGAGTGATCCTTAGGACCCTGGAGTGGTGGAGGGGGGCTTTATCTCTTACTGCTGCTCCAGCTCCCCGATCCCAATGGGGAACTTGGGTCAATTCTTAGCAAAGGGAGAAAAATGTTCTTTGCCATTCTTGCAAGCGTCTCTCCCAGGGCAACTGATGAACACAGAGCAGCCACAAAGCCTAAGCAAAAGGGAGCAGGCAGGGCTAACACAAATCAGCCCCCCCAAAAAACAGGGATGCCAGGAGAATAGATGGAAGTAGAGGGGCCTGCAAAGGAGCCTCCTTCTTGGGCCCTGGGCAAGGCTCTCTGGCGCTGTTTTTCCACACTTGCAGGCTTCAATTGCCCTGGAAATCCATGGCTTCTTTTCATTCCAGCTGCATCTTGATGATAGTGAAAGCTAGCTTCCTGTATTTTCCCCAATCAATCCTTAGCTCCCGAAAACCTTTTAAAAACCGTACTTGAACCTTTCCTATCACAGCCAAAAATGCTGTTTCTGCATCTCTCGTTGAAAATAGTTCGGAAGAAAACCCAATAGGCTCTGCCTGTCTCAGCAGCAACTCAGCAAACCCATTTGAAAAGGAGACGGACGGGGCCTCCTTCCCAGAGCTCCCCATAACTGCTGAGCATTCAGGAGCTTTCTAAGGGGGTGGGAGCATCGTTCTTCTCCCGTTGGGCTGGGGGTGGGGAGCATAACGTATTGGGACATAATTTGTTAAGCACACAGACACACACAGATAGCAATCTCATAATTTATTCATTTTAATTTCTGAGAAATACCTGCCATTGGAGGCACCCACCGGAGCTCAGCCTAGCATGAAATTCCATTAAGCCGAGTCAATTGGCAGCTCCTCCAGACTCCAGCAGAAGCCCCGAAGATCTGCTGGTGCTCCCCTTGACGAGGGGTTTGCAGTTCTCTCCCAGAAATCCCCCTCCCCCTCCTGACATTTTGGAAGGTGTCTGCTGATAGCATCCCTCCCCAGCCATCCCTCTGTTACTGAGGGCCTGTCCTGGACCACATCACAAGCTCTCCGCTGTCTATTTCCCAGGCTGAACATGATTCTGGCCTGGATGTGTCCAGATTTACCAAGCACCTCACAGCCCCGACCCCACCAGCAATGCTGGCAAGGCTAAGCCAGCCTTTAGCCTAAACCCTGCTGGCCAGTCATAGTGGGATGCTTGGCCGAGTCCAGGGAGGCGGGGGGGGGGCAAAGAAGCCCAGGGAAGCCTTGGCAAAATTAACTTTCCTCCACAAGTTGGATGATGGAAAGAGCCCAAAGCCCCCCCCCGACCCTCCCCACCAGCAGCGTCTGCAGTGAGTAAGCTGTAAGCCGGCTGCTCTTGTTGCCTCTGAATTTGCTCTCGCTCAAGCCGTTTTCTTCCAAATGTGCAGCCATTATTAAGAGTGTTAATTTCTCTTGAATGGAGCTCCTGGGCTCTTGTTTTTCCTACGGTGGTGAAAAACTATACTTTTACTCCCTGTGTCAAAGAAGCTTAAACAAAGCCATTCCTGCACAATGCGCAGCCAAAGGCTGACAAAACTAGGCTGAGATAGAAGGAGCTTTGAATAAAGGTTGGGGTTGAGGGAAACCTGCCAGAGTTGCCTCCATGGTTCCTTCTCAGCCTTTTTATTTCTCTTCCTCACCCCTTAAATTCTTTCTCTGTTTCCTCTTCATTCTCCTTAGAACAATTCTGGGTATCAAGGGCCACCCAGAGGTTTCCATCAGGGCCTCTGTTCTGGCAAGGCTTGAAGGCTTACTGATTCGGCCCTTTGCCCATTTGATAGGAGAACGTGTACCCAAAAAAAGTCAAAATGGTGGCTGCAACCGCCTACATAAAGCCTCACCCATGTTTTATATGCATTAAGGCCACGAACCCCCCCCCCCCATCTTGACATTTTTGCCCCCAAGAGAGTGGAGCAACCTCTTCAAACTTGCAGCTGATGCTTCCAGCAATCCGAGAGGGACCCATTTCCCCAGCCCAGCCAAACGCAGCTGCATCTCCCAGGGCCCAACAAATCCGCCAAAGCAGGTCCTGCCCCAGAGCCCTTTAGGGTGGATTATTTTTTTTATATGACAGGGAAAAAAGCTAATTAAATATGGAAAGAATTGTTTATCATGTCATTTGCATTTAAATAGCTCAATTAAGCTTAATTAATTTAAATGAAAACAAATTTACTCTTTGTCCTACCTTGCCTAATCTTTTGGAGTGTGGCTCCCATTGTTAATCCCCGTCACCCATTTCCTGATACTGCCACATTTTTACACACAATCTCTCAGCAAAATCCTCAGGGTTGCCTGATTCTGCGGTTATGAGCCTGTGGCTTCTCTCTCTCTACCTTTTTAGCTGGGAATAAGCTTGGAGACCCACCTGAGCAGGTGTGCCCTGGACTGCCCTCCACACACCGTTAGGGGTTGCCACACGTGCCAATGCAGCTTCATTCCCTGCCAAGGAGGGATCAGTCCCACTGAATCTCAAATCTGGCCAGGCAGCCAGAGAAGCAGTTGCCTCAGCCGGGGCTCCTGCTTGCTTCCCAGCAGGTGTAAATAGGAAATTATCCCATTATTGGATATTCTGCCTTCCTTCGAGAGCCCTACAGAGCATCTTTCCTTCATTTCCCCCCAACCCTGTCATCAGTTAGTTGGGCTGACAGGGCTTTTCTATGACTGGGGGAGAGGGGATTAAAAAATGGTTCTCCCCTCCCCCCCAGTTCTGGGCCAACACTTTAACCACTCTTTCATATTTCCCCTTTCAGTGCTTAAGAGACAAAATACACATCAGGAGGGCTGTTTTCAATCTATCTCCTTATAAATTTAGCAAATCATTTGCTGTCACTTCTAGTGGCCTTCTTGAGCCCCTGATGCCTACCTGCACATTCCCCAAGCCCAGGGGGCAGCACATTTTCTTATTTTATTAAAATCCAGTGACTTACAGCAGCTTGCAGGGTAGAGCAGTGGTTCTCAACCTTTTCTTCACCATGGACCCCCTTTAAATACCTTTTGTGGCCACAGACCACCAGGACTTAACTCAAGATTTAAATCATAACATTTCTTCACGCCTTCGCAAACATCACAGCCCCCCAGTGGTCCTGATGACCACAGGTCTAGAACTACTGGGGTAGAGCAATACCAATTAAAGGATCCACACTCCAGTCTAAAATCAATCCCTCAGAAAACCCCACAAAAACAGAAGACAACAACAACAAAAAGGCCCAACTACAAAAAAGTGTCCTTTACATCTGTTATCCTTTTTGTGAGCTGCTGATATATGGAGTATTTCCTTTTCCTTTATTTTCAAAAAGTCCTTTGTGCTGCTTCTCGTTTCCCTTAATATCAAGAATTCCAGCTCTTTACACATTATGCAGTTCCTCCTCAGTTCCTACTGCTTTGCCTCCTGAATTTAGTGCTAGGGCTAGTAGCAAGGACTAATTGAGACCGGCTGATCTGCTTGTGTCTTCTTCCTCCTCACTGCCCCAAAGGAGAAAGTTGCAGAAGGCTGGGCTGAAGGTGTCCCTGGATCCCATCGGGGTTGGTCACCAGGACCAGAGGTTTAGTCTTCCGAGCTTTCGGACTCTTGCTGAAGCCCATCCTCGGGGAAGTTCTCTCTAGCAGAGTGTGTGCTTTGGGCTGTTCTATGTATAGTATTTATGTGGTCCCTGGTTGTGTGTGGCTCTTTAATTGTTGATTGGATTACTGACAGCCAGCTATTAAGTTGTTGGCTGTTGTTTCCTTGTGCTGCCAAGCCCTCGTTTCCTAAGGACTTGATAAGCTGGTGGTAAATCAGCACTCCTGTTGACTGACTAAACCTCTGGTCCAAGTGACTGACCCAGATTGTGGATCCTGCAACATTATCCTGGGACACGTAGGTTTGCCTTCATTGGCGAAGGTGTCCCTCTGCAGACATGGAGATAGTCACAAATGGGCAGCCACAAAATCAGAGCTCTTCTCTGTGGGCAGTTCAAGCAGCTGCATCTTTCACAAGGCTCAGACAACGGACTTCCTGTCTACAGGTTGTCCTCACTTAATGACAGATCATTAGTGACCAGTCCAAGTTGCAGCTGACCGCCCCAGCAACCAGATTTCAAAGTTCTGACGGATGCACTCCCGTGGTCACATGATCACATTTTGGACACTTGGCAGCTGGCTTGTATTTGTGACCACTTGCAGTGCTGTTTGGCCATGTGATCACGGATTTTGGAATTTTTTTGCCAGTTTACTTCCAGTTTCCAGCAAAAAATAGACCGTTGGGGAAAATGAGTTTGCTTAATGACTGCGGCATTTTTAATGACCACCATAAAAAAGGTAGTAAAATCAAGCCTGGTCCACAGTGTTCTGCTTAACAACTGCCATGACTTATGACTGTGATTCTGGATTCAATTGTAGCTGTAAGCTGAGAACTACCTGTCTTTCTGTGTGAACAGATGTTTTCAAATAGGTTGCACAGCTCCAATAATGAAAATCCCTTTTTCTCATTTGCTATTGTGACATAGCCTTGGTTTTGTCCAATACATCTTCTCTTTTGAGAGCTGAATGCAATGAAATTTCATTTAATGCATGCTGATTAGTGTACATTTAAAATGACAATAAAGATTCTATTCTATTCTATTCTATTCTATTCTATATTCTGTTCTGTTCTATTCTATTCTATTCTATTCTATTCTATTCTATTCTATTCTATTCTATTCTATTCTATTCTATTCCTGTTCTGTTCTGTTCTGTTCTTTATTCTATTCTGTTCTATTCTACTCTTTATTCTGTTCTGTTCTGTTCTATTCTATTTATTTTCTATTCTATTCTTTATTCTGTTCTGTTCTATTCTATTCATCATTATTCTATTCTATTCTATTCTATTCTATTCTATTCTATTCTATTCTATTCTATTCTATTCTATTCTATTCTATTCTATTGTCTTTCCATTTTTACAAGCTATACAGGTAAATCTTTATTTACTGAACAGTGACCATTTAAAGTTATGACAGCACTCAGAAAAGAGACTTAGAGCCAGTTCTCAAAGTTGTGGCTGTTGCAGGGCACCTGTGGTGACATGATTGAAATTTGACAAAAGGTGCACATTTATGACAGTCGCAGTGTCTTGCTGTCACATGGTCACCATTTGTGGCCTTCACAGCTGGCTTCCAACAAGCAAAGTCAATGTGGAAACCAGTGGGAAGTCACAAATTGCAGTCATGTGACATCACAAATAACGCTTAGCGATCGCAGCCGGAACTGATGAATTACTGTAAGCCAGGTGCAATTATGTGACTTTTCACTTTACAACTGTGTTGTCTAGCAACGGTCCCAATTGCAATAGGTAAGTCAGGACCATCTGGAGTGTTGCCACTCACTGTTTCAGCTTTGTACTTACTGTTCAAGCTGTGCTACAGGCATAGGCCAAGTTGTTTTCTGGCAGGAACATAAACGTGCCATCAGCACAGCTGGTCACAACTGCAGTGTTGTGTCCGCTGGTCTATTCCTGAAGACATCCCCAATGGAAAAGTTTTGCTTCTTCATCCTCATCCTTTCTCAGACTCTCAAGGTATTCACATGCCTATCCTTTACCCCTTTCACCTCCTATGTGCTCTTCCTTCGGACATGTATCGCTCTCCTTCCATTAAGCGTCTTTTACAAGTATCAGCCGATACTGGGTCACAGAGAAGACAGGTCTCCACTCTTCCTACTTCGGCTGTTTTGTCATTGGGGTGGTGAGGTCTCAATTTCAAATATTTAAGCAAGAGGGAGGCCAAATCTATATCTGAATTTGGGAAGGGGCAGAGAATAGATCTGGCCTTTTCTGCCCTCTTGCAGCTAAAACTGATCCTAGATTGCAAGATGGAGAAAAGGCAGGATATACATCTAAAAGGAATTTAAATTAATCAATCGTTGGAACTCCACTCCACCTCAGCCTTCTTGGAGCTGCTGCTTCCTTGCAACTGTTCAGGATTGGGGAGAGGCAGAATGTTAAACAAGGAAGCTGAGATGGAAATTGGCCATTAAAAAAAAGAGTTGTGTTTCGTGTGAAATTCTGGAAGAGATTTGTGTTGTGTCGTTGAGGTTTCTGAGTGCTTTTCTGGCTTGGGCCTAGCTACTGGACTTTTTGTTCCCTAGCAACCACGGGGTGGAGTCAGAGAGCCCTTAATTGGACCCACAAGGAATTTGTCTCTGGTGCAGAAGCTCTCAGTGTACATGCAAAGCAACAGAATCATCATCACCTTCATCCCAATAACAGGGGGGAGTAAAGAAGATAATAAGAAGGATAAATGATAATACTACATGGGCACAAATACCAGAGTGATGGCAGGAGGGAAAAAGCTGTCTTTGTGTCTGGCTATCTTAGCCTGCAATGCCCTGTAGCGGTGTCCTGAGGGAGGAGTAGAAATAGTTTGTGTCCAGGTTGTGAGGGGTCTATAGCTATTTTCCAGCCCTCCTTCTGACATGCGCAATATACAATCTGAACTATTCAGACATTTGCCCTATTAATACCAAGGACTCAGCTGGCCAGATCAACCTTGATCTGCTCCTCCTGGAGTGGCTGGGCATCTCCCAGAATGCAGGTCTAACCGAGTTAACCTCCTGGGGCCCCATGCTTGCCGAGGGCCATGGGAGGAGGCTTCAAGGGCTGGCTTCCCGAGAGCCGTCCACCTTTTGGAAACGCAGCTCACCTCAAACTTCTGTCTGAACTCCTCATTGCCTTCTTCGCCTTCTGCGGGGACAGGAACGTTGAAGTATTCTCCCTCTTCCTGGCTCAGGAGTTTAAACCTGGGGAGAGGAAAGAGGGAGTCATCAAAACAATCCTGAGCTGGGGCTGCAGCCCCCAAAGGCCAGTTGGAGAATCTGACCAAGGGCCAGGCCTGGCCACGTCCTGCCCCAGGGATGTCCTAATTTTTGTTTTAATTAGTTGTGCTCACTTTTAAAGAAAGGAATGATCCAAGCAGAGCGTGCATAGGTAACAGAGATCAACACTCAAGTACGGCAAGAACAATCAATCAGAATAGAACTGGAAGGGACCCTGGAGGTCTTCTAGTCCAACCCTCTGCTCAAGTCGGAGACCTTATACCATTTCAGACAAATGGCTGTCCAGTCTCTTCTTTAAAACCTCCAGTGATGAAGCATCTACAAATTCTGACGGCAAGCTGTTCCACTGGTTAATTGTCCTCACTGTTAGGAAGTTTCTCCTTAATTCTAGGTTGCTTCTCTGCTTGATTAGTTTCCATCCGTTGCTTCTTGTCCTGCCTACAGATGTTTTGGTCAATAAGTTGACCCCCTCTTCTTTGTGGCAATCTCTCAAATACCGGAATTCTGCTATCATGTCACCCCTAGTCCTTCTTTTCTCCTAGCCAAACCCAAATCCCAAACAAAAGTGGATGAGAACGGAAACGTGAGTGAGGACAATGGGATGTAGGTGATATCTCCAAACCCTTTTCCCATGTCAAAAATGCTTAAAAAGCAAACAAAACCCACAGAGAGACAGAGTGTGGCCCTGTGCTTGTTTTGATTTGCAGGTTATTTTAAAAATGGGCAATTCTTTCAAAATAGCATCTCCCACCCGCTGCTCATTCAACTGCTTAAGATTGGGCAGCCGTGCCTGCCGAGAAGGCTCGTGTGGCTCCAGACAAAGAGGGGATTTTCAAAATTAAAAGGAAGAAGGAGCATCTCCTGTTTGAGGAGGGAGAATGAACAGACAAGATGGGATTTGCATCGGCCCAAGGTCTCTTCTCCGGGTACATACCACGGCTCTTTAGAGATGAAAAATGAACGGGAGCTTCCCTCCTCGCAGAGTTTATTTAAGCCAATACTGTGACAAGGAAAATTACTTAGATCTCCACTTACTGATTTTTTAAAAATGCAGTACGTAGCTGCTTACCATATATTTTACATGCTCTCTAAAGTGCTCAGCTGGCAAAGCCAAACTGGAGCCAAGACTGCAAGTAGCGAGGAAGCCAAATGAAATGGGGGAGACTGAATGAGAACCTGGCTGGCAGCCAATGCACAGAGGGGGCACCTTGTCCCCAGCGGTCCTGAGCCTCTGAAGGCCACTCCTGACACCCCTGGCTGCCCGAGTGCTGTGGGAGGGCTGGGTTGCACCCAAGTGGTAAGAGGCTTCCCTTCCAAGCATCTCTCCCCCAGTGGTGCCCACTGCCTTCTCCCCCACAGCTCTGGCTGAGCCCAGGCATCATGCATAATCTGCTAGTGGCTGGTTATGCCCAATAAACATGCCAGGCTAGGTTAGCTATCACCCAGGCTGGATTCGGGCAGGGTGAAGCCCTAAGTTATGGGGAGCTATAAAGGCTCTTTTCTGGCAAGGTCTTGCAGAGAACAAGGCTACGTCACAACTGAACTTGGCAAGAATGCCGTCCAGATGAGTAACAAGCCCAGGTTGGCATGCAGAGATGGTGTGAGTGCGTGCAGAAACAAAGGGTATCTTAATCAATTACCAAAGGTCATGTGAGCCATACTGAGGACTTAATTTATGGAGACTATTGTAAATGAAATTGGAACTGTAACAAATGAAAATAATTCTAAAATTTTGAGAGGTGCCTTTAAGCTATAGTTTGCTTAGCTTATGCTTAAATTCTCTCAGATTTCCTTTTTTGTGGCTTATCATAAGGTATGTGATCACAGACCTTTGTTTAGATTTTGGTTTAATGTACTCTAATGTAACCTCAGAAAGTGGCTTAAGCAGGGTTTTTTTCCAAGTCTGTCCCATTAACTGCCCCAGTTAGAGAGGTTTGGCAAATAAACCGAAAGAGTATTGTCACAACTCTGCCCCTGGATATCAACTACCATTTTCCATTAGCTTCATTAAACCTTCATGCTAGCTAAGCATTTCAGCAAGGAAAAGAAAGGCTAGAATATTCTGCTTCTTCAAATGACAGGATAAGTCATTTACAACACCAAAATAATCTACGTGATTCAATCCCAGCATGACTCAACATCCCAGTTTTACTGGGTCAGCCTATTTGGGAAGAAGAGTCTGGGGCGATGTCCTGCCCACTCAGCAAAGTGTCCTCTCTGTGCCAGGCAGCCAGGGGCAAAGACACAGCAGCAGAAGCAAATTTGGCATTTGCCACTCCTTGCTGCTGTGCAAGTACTTGGGTAAGGCAGCCCTACCTCACAGCAAAAATCTGGGTGACAGCAGAAGGGCACAGAAATGCCCGCTTTGGTGCGAATTGTCTTTAATATACACATTCTTGAAAGCAGCTGATGTCAATGTCTTTTTGTGCACATTTTTGTAATATACAAAATATTAATATTAATTAATATACAATATGCCATTTTGTGAACATATGCATATACATATATTGTGTGTGTATGTGAAATGTGTATAAAATGCATCATTTATACTGTAAACCATATCACATTTGGAAAACTGAGGTTCAGATTAAAATTTGCAAAATGAATAACTTAGCATAAAAATATAAATAGAACAAAATTCTCCTCCCCTTGCCTGGGAATCAACATGAAAACTGCATCTCTCGATGAAAAGAAATGAGAGAGTCTACATTATTTATCTATCACTGGAAATCCTCAGATGCAGGAATCCAAGTGGACAGCCAAGCCACAAAGGTGTTTCTCAAGAACTGGCTTGGCCAGATCAGTTCTCAACTTCACCTGAATGGGCACTAAAACCCTCCTGCCCATAAAGAAGAGAAAAAGAGAGCCAGTCACTTCCTACATCTGTTGCTGTACTTATATAACTATCATTCATTCATTCATTCATTCATTCATTCATTCATTCTCATATTTAAGAAGTGCCCATCTTATAGGTGGCATTTGGATCCTCAAAAACTGTCCTGCATGTATCCTACCTAATTCACAGCCCAAATGTTGGAGATGTGGAAGTTTAGATGCAACTTATTTTCATATTTGGTGGACGTGTAGGGATATAAAAGCATTTTGGATTAAGATTTGGTGGAATATTCAAAATATTTTTAAGAAAAAGATAAAGTTTACACCGCAGTTATTTTTGTTAGGTATTATGGAAGATTTGGATATTAAAGAAATGAATTTGATGTTGAATCTTATAACAGCTGCAACATTATTGGTAGCGCAATTTTGGAAGAAGGATTGCTTGCCTACTATAGAAGAATGGACGCTTAAAGTGTCAAATTTAGCAGAAATGGCTAAAATTTCCGCTTATTTGAAGGATCAATCACAAGAAAGATACATCTCGGTCTGGAGAAGATGGATAGATTATATTCAGAATAAATATGGGACTGAAAAGTTTCATTTGGGTTATGAGTAAATTTTAGAGTATTGTTATTAATAATAGTTTATTTTAATGGAATTTTTGTTAATTTTAATTATATGATATTATTATTATTTTTAATATTAGTATTGTATTGTTTAATATTTAGGTTATGAATAGGTTTATTATTGTGTTTAATTTTAATTTGTTTAAATTTATGTTAAAGGGGAGTTAAAGTGCATTATGGACTTGGTTATTTAAATAGTTGGTTAATGTTAGATAGATTTTGATTATTATATTTGTAACCCTGTGTTCAGCTCTGGGAAGTGGGGGAGGGGGAGGGAGGGGTTTTGGGGTGGGTATGGGGGTTTATATGGTAAGTTTTATAAAACTTTTAATAAAAAAAAAAGAAGTGCCCATCTTCCTCCTAGAGGGACTCTGGGGGGGTCTACAAGTAAATGTTAAACACATAAAAACTAAATCATCATCGCTCTAGCCATGGTCTATCCACTGCAGGATGAAGGCCTCTTCCACATGTTTCCCACCAACACAGTCCTGAGCTTCCCTTTGCCAGTTGGGTCCGCAATACTGGCTGATGTCATCGATCCATCTTATTTTAGTTCTTTTTCGTGGACGCTTTTGATCAAGTGGGATCCATTCTACGACTGCCTTGGTCCACCTGCCATCAGCCTTTCTTTCTACGTGACCAGTCCATTTCCATTTCCATTCTTTTGCTCTCTTGACGGCATCATATATTTTAATTTGTGCTCTAATCCATGTGCGGGTCTTTCTATCTTGTCTTGTGATGTTGAGCATGTCTCTTTCCGTGGCGCTTTGCTCCACTTGTAGCTTTTGTACCGATTGTGAGGTTAGTGTCCATGTCTCACTGGTATATGTTAGAGCAGGTAGCTCACACTGATCGAAAACTTTTCTCTTCAGGCATCTTGAAAATTACATTTAACTTGACAAATGCCTGCCAACCACATTCAACACGCCGTTCAATTTCCTTTTTTGTATCACCTTCCATTGAGATCCATTGGCCAAGGTATATGTAGTGGTCTGCTACATCTAGGTCTTCTCTGATAATTTTTTTTTCTATCTTTAGTGAATTTATTAAACACAACCTGGCTCTTTTTTGGGTTTATTTTGAAGCCAAATGGTTCTCCTGCTTTGTGCAGCTCCTGTATGTGTCTTTGTAGCTCTTCTGGGTCTTGTGAGAAGAGAACAACATCATCTGCAAATCTTAAGTGATTTAAATAGGCACCATTGGTTTTTATTCCATCTTTTGCCCAGTCTAGTTTCCGAAATAGTTCTTCAAGGCAAGCTGAGAAAAGGACAGGTGATATTGTATTGCCTTGTGATACACCTCGTTCTATGTTGATTCCCACCTTACCATAATTAAGTCAAATTGTCACCATTGTTTTTTCATATATTGATTATAGTAATATAAACTAAAATAGAGGTAAGGATAAAGTTGACATTGTAAGTTAATTAAAAGGCAGGGTTCTGGTACCTGGCTCAACAACAGCAACTATGAGACGGATCTTTGGGACCTAGTGAACCACCACTT